TCTGCCCACCACGGGTATCGAAACCCGGTTTCTAGCGTTGTAAGTTCGCAGACATACCGCTGTGCCACTGGGGGACTACTCCCCTTCCATAAAATATAGCAGATGTGGTTCATATAGCTACAGGGGTAGTCGAAAACTCTCATAGGAAGGTATTGCCAGATCATGCAACTGCCAGTTCAACCTCCTCTCAATACAAAGTGATAGCTACTTATTAAACTAAGGTTAACACTGAGTAACTAGCACCCTCTAACTTCTCCACATGGTAGTTTTTGTTTTTAATGTAGTTCTATGTTTATTATAAAAAAGTAAGAAAAAATGTTTTGTATATACTAGTCCTGATAACCATTATTTTCAATTTATTTATGAATAATTTAACATTATCCATAAGAAATTGCTATTCTTACAAATTGTTAAAAATCTTTTTTAATTGGGAGATAATAATCTTTCTTAACAATACCGACGGAACAACATTGTTAGTGGTTAGTAAACCAAGGATTGTAAAATCAAATTCCATTCTTTGTCAAGAATAGTCGACTGTACTCTTTCTTCTACAAAGTTAATATCTATAACTAAGTAAGGTGCATGAATATCACTACTATTGCTTCTTTCTGTTGGGTTCTATCATATTTGAATCAAAATCAAGTTATTGATTACGATTAAATCATCTATGTAATGATGAAAAATGTAGATTAGGGTTTAATACCTGTTTGAAAAATGAATATTCATAGAAGAACAGATACTGGTTGGTCATATCTGAAGAGAAATTAGCACCCATTGGAATACCCACTGTTTATTTATACACTTCTTCATTAAAGGTAATATAACTATTGCAGGTACAAAGGCTTTTATGTTGATATTTGTTGAAATCATATTTTGGAATGATTATTTCTGTATCTTAAAAATTACCAAGTAGATCACTAAAACCTACATTAAATTTTTCATATCTATTTCAGTGTATAATGTAGTAAAATCATAAGTAATAACAGAGTTAGCTGTTTGTAAAGAGTTTGAATTAGTTAAATAAACCAAAACAGGAATATTGTTTTTTTTTATAATCAAAAATAGAGGTCCGAATCATTTTTCAAATAAAACATCCAAAATATCCTAAAGTGCAACAGAAACAGATTTAGTAACTGCATTTAAAGAATTGGTAATGAACCTGAAATTAATAAGAGTTTTATGTAATTTTGGAATTGCATATAAAAATGGCAAGAAAAGTCTATATTAACATTCCATTTTTACTCGCTTTCTTTAAATCAGTAATAATTCTATTTTTATTTAAAGTAATTTTTGTAAATATATTTGTTGTATTGATTTCATTAGTTAAAATGTGTTCAAATAATTTTTTTGCATATAAACCAAAATTACAAACAACTTTATCAATAGGTAATAATGAATTTTTATTGAATTTCCTTTTTATTTTATTTCTAAAATATTGAAAGGAATATCTATTTTATATTTAGATAAATCTAAAGTTTTTAATCGGTTTTTGATGAAATTGATGAAAGTTTCCGTTAAAAAAAAGAATCATGTTGCTGATTTTGATAATATAATCACCAATATTTTTCTAAGTCTTTTAAAATGTCACTTTTCTCTCTCTCTTTAAGATACTAAATTTAGTCCCTTTATCTAAAATCTATTTTAATTCTTTATCTTTTATAACTTCTAAATTACTTGTTATAATGTGATTATGAAAATATCCGATATATTGATACAATTACAAGACAAGTTATCGATTTCTTTCTTATTTAATTATTGAATAATTGTTACATTATCTAACGGCTGCATTTGTCTGCTTGTTTTGAATTTCAAGCAAAGCTACACGAGGGCTATCTGCGTTAGCCGTCCCTAATTTAGCAATGTAAGACTAGAGGGAAGGCAGCTAGTCATCACCACCCACCGCCAACTCTTAGGCTACTCTTTTACTAATGAATAGTGGTATTGACAGTCACGTTATAACGCCCCCACGGCTATAAGGGGATTCGAACCCGCGACCCATGTCGGTCCTATTTCTTAAATAGATCTTTTACGATTAAATCCCATAGGTTTATTAGATTTAAAATGTACTATAGGCTGTAATGTTTTAATTGGGAATATTTCTTCCCAAACAGGTAGAGATAAATCGTCATCATACTTTATGTTTGGAATCTATTACCATGCAAGATTTTTTTATATTTACCTGAAATATCCATTGGAAACTGGTTTAATTTTAATCTATCTTTAATATGAATAAATCTAAATTCAAAATTTAACATATATTCTGACAAATATTTATGTTTTATATCATGTAATTCAAATAGTTCTTTTATTATAAATTTTATAATATTATGAGCTTGTTCGAAAGCAGAATCTAAATATTTACAAAAATTCTCAAAATGAATCCAGTTTTTCTATTTTTACCTTTACCCCACTTTTTATTCTGTTTAAAATTAGAACTATTTATCCAAAATAAACCTTTAATACAGATACTTTTACTTAAAGATTCAGCAGTTACCTTGAATATGTAGAAATAACCTTGATGTAGAATTACAACACCCTAAACTTTTACAATATAAAACTCCCACCCCTCCGCCCTTTAATTTAATATTATAGAATAAAACCGATATTCTTATAGTAGAAATCAGCCACCCTAAATTGATACAATATACCTTCACTCTTGTGTGTGTGTGATTATACACGTATTACACTTTACATTGAATATGTGTGTATGTTTTTAAATCAATAGCACAAGTTTTAACTGAAATTTTATGTATAAAAATAAGATAAGAAACGTATAACAAAATTACCTTTATTTATCTGGTTTAAACTGTACAAACTTATATTGGATAAAACAAGTATATCATGGTAATCAATAAATTAAATATTTAGCGTTGGAAACTTTTAGTTCTATATCCTGATTATTTTAGGACATTAGTCGTAAATTGCGTGTTAGTTGCATAAATATATAAAACCATTCTTGGTGTCGGAAATAAAAGCAATGGACGGTTACAAGAATATAACTTCATAATTCTTGGTTCGAGGTACTTTGTAAAACGCGTTCACTTTACGTAATATTTCTGTTCGCAAAACCACTAAAGGGATAGTTCCTAAAAAATAAACTAAACACTAAAAATCTGGACATTATCGTGGTATAAACAGTGTTAAAAAAATTAAATGCTTTTTTTCTAAGACTGGTTTCTACGAAAATCATAAGCTGAGAGTATAAATCGTATAAATTGGTGTTAGATTTATGTTGCTTTGTCCACATCAAGCTTTGTTCAGTCTACTCTTTAAATATATTACAAGGTTTTAGAAAGAGAATTTTATTTCTTTGTTCAGCTACAAAGCCAAAAACGAGCTATGTGTCCTGTGCCAACTGCAACAACCAAGCTCCGAATTTTAGCATTATAAGCATTCAAGCTTAATGCTGAGCCACCAGGGAGCGGGAGAAATGTATTTATTTGAATGATAAAGAAGAGCTGTATAATACTTTATCGTCAATATACGTAGAAATTTCGTATTGGCGGTTCCTAGAGACTGGATAAGTTAAGTTAAAACCCTAAAAATGTTTGAATATGATTAGATTAGAATAAAGTGAGCTGCTAATCGCGTGGTTGTGTATGAAGATATACACATTGTGTCTTCATCGTGTAAAAGGTGCACGATTGTGAAATATATAGTTATAACAACACTGATAATAAAGACTTGAAATGTGACATTGATCAACAATTTGTACAACTTCTTTTCCATTGGCCAGCAGTAGAGGTAACTAAATTACTAATCAGTATGTAGGTCATTTTTGTGAGTGTGGCACTGTTAGTGAAGATGATGATTCACGCTTGTCCATTTCCACTTTTCTGTTCGAGACCTTCTGCATCATAACTCTGAAAACAACAAACAATTCTATAGATAAACCCACGAGATTCTTACATATCTTTATATAGTGTTTCAGTATGATGCAAATTATATATATTTACAAGATTATTATATACTTCTAAATTGCTGTTAAATAGTTTTTTTTTCAAAACATTGCCAATGAATAAAATTTTTGAAACACATTATACAGTTTTAAAATGAAATGACATTGGTAACTGTTCATTCTATCGGTATTTCAAGTCAAACAGTACAAGTGTATTAGATTTCTAAAAGGCTTGATACTTTTATTTTAGAGCATCAAATTAAGAATGTATATAAAGAGCACAGACAGAAAGTTGCAAGCGAAAAAACAAATAAAAAACTTCATAAATCCTGAAAAAAATGTAAAGTAACTTTTTTCAGGAATGTACTATAAACTGAAAATTCACCAATATATTGTGACTGAAAATTAACAAACGTTGTCATAATGAATTCAATCAATCCAGTGATCACGTATAAACGTTATCAGTCTGACCACTGCAAGCAAAGGCTGTGTAAACAGTGTAGTCATCAAATTAAAAAAAATGGATTAACTTCAAACACCTTGTCACTAGAAATAGACTGACGAAAGTTATTCAACCGGTTTCTCCATTTAAAAACTAGGTAAATTTGTTCAACCTAATCACGTAAGTGAATAAAACCCTACAACGGGCATAAACGTTCAAGCACATTATACATAAAAACAATATCGTCAACAGAAGACAGACATTTTGTGACACAATTTCTAACAAAAAAAAAGTTTCTTCTTTATCGACCGACGTAACATGTATAATTGAAACTATACTTTTCTCACATGTCTTGAGCACATTTTTTATTTTGGGTGTTGTGGGAAAGGGGTTAAGTTATAATGAAATGCTTCATTATAACCCAGCGACCAATGGAACAAGTCTTGACTGTACATTAAGGACACAGCAAAATCTCTGAAATTATAGAAATGGTGCAAATTGTTTATTTGCAATATGTAAAACAAAAAATCCATATCACGATGCAGCTACAAACTTTTACAACTAACATAAACTTGTTTATGTATTATCTTTGAATGTGCACGTCAAAAATGAGAGAGAAAACCCGAGCGCTGGAAAGCGAAATAGCCCAACATTCTAGCTTTGTGTGTAAAACCACACTAAATTCAGAACATATTGAGACCTTTCTATAGTTAAAACAAATGTTTTGTTTTTTAAGTAATATTGCAATTTTCAAATGATCCACTTATTGTGAGAAAACGTGTACAAAAATTGTTCTCGTAAAATATTAATCAGAATAAAAAAAACTATTTAGGTGTATAGTTTTGTTTAGCTACTTTATGAATTTCCATGTGCACGTGTGAAATAACAGTGCAACATTTCTTTAGTTAACTTCTGGAAATAACTGAACCAACTGGTGTCTTTAAAGTCTGGTTAAACAAACGTGAAATTATGTTAGCAGATGAACTCAGCCAGTAATTCCGAATGGCTCTATGACAGTGTTTTATCACAAGATATTTCCCAGGACAGTGGTAGTATGAGTTATCATAATGTGACTCTGTCACTCAACATTTCCCAGGACAACGGTATAAAAGTGTCGATCTATCACTCGACACTTTCCAGGACAACGGTATTATTGTGGGTTATTATAGTGTTGCTTGAGTTAGTCGAAGTCTTAACTACAGCATTGTAAACACGTGTTCATTATAAAATACGTGATCAAAACTGATGGCTGTCAAAAACAGTTCACACGTTAAAGTCAGGACTATTAGGTGTATAACATGATTAGTTCTGGATGAGAAAGATAAATTACCTTGAAAGTTGGATTATCGTAATCTGTTTTCGAAGGAGCTTTTGAAATCGGAGCTTTTGCACTAGATTGTTTTTTCATCAACAGGATAAGCAGGATAATGAACCCGAGGCCAGTCACTCCAGCTATAATAGCGACAATGATAAGAGCCACATAATAAGCCTTACTGTACGTGTTGGTACTGCTCTGGTTCTCCTGCAAAGCTTCTGGGTCGTTGACTAGAAGAAGAAAATATATTAATGCTTCATGCATCAATTTTAGAGAGGTTATTAACAAAACCATGGGTAAAGTTAAAAGGGATATAATAGCCATGATATCTCGTACATATATTTCGCTTCATATAATAAAAGTTAATTGCTTAAGGCTTTTCGAAAACTTCATATCAACAAGATATAAAATGCAGTTTGAATTTGTTAAATTTGCTTCTTGAATGTCAAACAGCATAAATTGTGGTGATTTTTCTTTCACTCTCCAGTTTAATCCTAAAATAACTTGATTTTAATATGTAACCTATATAAACTGTCAATTTTACGGGTTTTGCTTTTCTGTATATGCATATAAAATATTTGTGTAATGATACAATGTTTATCCCTGCTTCACTAGTGTTTGTTTCCTTCATAAACATTTAAATCAGCTACAAGAAATAGCTGTACTTTGATCTATTCCCCCGGTGGGGCAGCGGTAAGTCTTCGGAATTACAACGCTGAAATTAGGGATTCGATTTCCCTCGTTGGACACAGCAGATAGCCCGAGGTGACTTTGCTATAAGAAAACACAAACACATACTTTGACCACATTTCGAATAAAAATATATAAAGCTACAAATATTTCTGCAGATAAAATTACTGGAAAAGTCTCACATTTCCTTAATCTACTCCAAAACAACGCTTTATTACCTGTTTTATTTTGTTTTAAATTTCATATATAAAGCACAAACATCTGTGTGTCTGTCTGTTTGCCCATTTTCTA